TGTTGTGCTACTGCCTTGAGTAACCAGATCTGAGTAATGGCTTGGACCAGGGTGGATAAAAATCAAAGTTTAAAAAAAAATAAAATGAAAAAAAGACCGATTTTTTTTTATTTAAATCGGATTTTTGATATTTTTTTTCCTCAAAAAGAATTTTATCTAAAGATAGTTTTAATTAAGATACATTATAGTTCAAAGATATCTCATCATGGAATAGGGAATATAAATTCTGATTCTATAGTATGAGACAATATATTCAGGTAATGTTTTGTAAATGAGTTCTAATAGTTCATGGATTAGGTACCCAATCTTATGGGGTTCCACAGGCTTCTGTATAGATTATTTAGGTTAATCTTTCTATCTACCCAATGGGACTCAATGCTCAGTCTAGAAGATACCATCAGAGATGCTTAGTTCTCAAACTGTGGATTTGTGTTTTCAGAGGTAACATGGTTGTTAACAGCAAAAATGTTTTAAAATAAATAAATAATATATAGAGGTGAGAAATAACAGACCTCAACTCTATTGTCCCTCTGCAAATTTGTGTACACAGAGTCAATCCCTTACCTCTCTCTAAAAGTGCAAAGTTTCAAAAAGTTTCAATGAATAGAAGATTGTTGGGGGCAGAATAGATCTGGACAAGGAGAAGAAGTCTGGAGATAAATGTGAGAAGCGAGGGACATGTGCTTGTTTTGTTAAAATATTATATGTTTGTTGTTGAAGAAAAATATCCAGAATACATAACGTTGTTTTAGTTAAATAAAACAATTTAAATGTCTGTCTGGTGATGTTCTCCTCCTAATACAGCATGGCAAAAAAATCCTCCAAATATTAATGATTGAATTGAATTGGAGATAGCTCACCTTCGAATGACTTCATAAATATCTGCTTCAATTACCTTTGGTAAATGAAATAACCAAACAATCATTCATTTTCTGATATAGCTGTAAAACTAATCTGAAAAGTTTTCAAAATAAATCACTGTATAGTGTGTATCTTCTAAAAATGAAACCTAGATCTATCTCTGAGTTGTAAAGAATATGTATTAAGGTTATAACAACCAACAAGAATGCACTTTTATGTAGAAAACCATGATTAAATTAGTCTTCCTGACTAATGATTTAAATCATGGTTTAAATTAATTTGATTGAAATCAAATCCACCTGGCTTGGACTCTGCTGTATGTTGTTAGCAAGTTGAAAGTTGCTGTCAGTGCTTTGGGAATCAACTGGCCCAGAAGAATACATCACTGCTCCTATTCAGCCCTTGTCATCTTCTATTTTTGTACATTATTTCTTTTCCTGGTCAGTTCTTAATATAGTTAAAATTTATTATTCACTTCTCCCTTGTGCGTGTTTACAACATGGGGTCTAATTACATGATCGTGCCATATTTATTGCATAGGCTGGGCAGTGAGCACTGCAAGGCAGTGTGTACGTAGAAGATAAAGCAGGGGGCTCTTGCATTCAGCCCGGGTTGGATGATGCACTGTGAGGCAGGGGACTCTCACGAACACTGAGGATAAAAATATTGAACCACTGACTCACTGAATGTGAACCATTTAATTTGCATACAGAACGAGACCAAAGGTTGTAACTGATCATGTAATTGAATACTATGATAATCCATACACCAAAGGGCAGAGTTAAGGTTACACAAGTGACTTTAATTGTGGCCATTCCCTGACTTTTGGGCAGTTCCCTTTGTAACTTCATAATTTTTGTGTGGAATATGTAGTAATTTTATTTTGTTGGAGATTTTGGTGGGGCAAATGCACAATAGTAAGTTTAATTTACCTGTGGCGATTTTCAGCTTGAGCTGGGCTGGTAGTGATTGTTCATCTTGTCTAATCAGCAGTTTGTGTGTTTATCTCCAGATCATGGATCAGGCTGTCATGGTTGGGGCTCCTGTAATTGGGTTGAATGACTCTGGAGGAGCCCGTATCCAGGAAGGAGTAGAGTCTTTGGCTGGCTATGCTGATATCTTCTTGGTAAGTGGCCTATTAGATGAGATCTACTGATGAAAAACACTATATAAGATTTGTTATTATTATACAATGGATTTTTAAATTAGAAGAGAGGAAGGGACAATTTACTAAATATAATAAAATACCTTCTGAGTCACATTAAGGTCTAGATTCCCATGTATATGCTGTAATGTAGGTCCGAAAAGCAGAACTTTCTTTAAATGAGATCTACTCCTGGATCTCTGCTTCCTTGTATCATACAGGTGGAGCTAGCCTAGCTGTTAAGGCTTTGTTCCCTAGCTTGGCAGTGCATGACACTCCCTAATCATCATTGTGCACATCCTCACCTCTGACCTGGAATCTAGTCAGTTTCTTCTTGTTCATAGTTATTGAATACAAATGTGGCAAGGAGCATCTTATAGCAGACACTCTTTCAAGTGCCTCTGTAAACGGTAAAAGCAAAGAGATGCAGGACGAGACATTCTACAATATATTAGAACCAAGAGGAAGACCGAGGTCAGGGTAGGCACCTTACTCAATGAGGGGGGGAAACAATAACTGAAAATGTGAAAATGGCAGAAGTGCTAAATGACTTTTTTGTTTCAGTTTTTACCAAAAAGATTAGGAGTGATTTGACGTCTAACAAAGTGAATGCCAGTGAAAATGAGGTAGGATCAGAGGCTAAAATAGGGAAAGAACAAGTTAAAAATTACATAGACAAGTTAGATGTCTTCAAGTCACCAGGACCTGATGAAATACATCCTAGAATACTCAAGGAGCTGACTGAGATGATATTTAAGCCATTAGCAATTATCTTTGAAAAGTCATAGAAGACAGGAGAGATTCCAGAGGACTGGAAAAGGCCAAATATAGTACCAATCTATAAAGAGGGGAATAAGGACAACCCGGGAAATTAGAGACCAGTCAGCTTAACTTCAGTACTCAGAAAGATAATGGAGCAAATAATCAAGCAATCAATTTGCAGACACCTAGAAGATGAGGTGATAATTAACAGTCGGCATGGCTTTGTCAAGAACAAGTCATATCAAACCAACCTAATAGCTTTCTTTGACAGGGTAACAAGCTTTTGTGGATTGGGTGAAGCAGTAGATGTTGTATATCTTGACTTTAGTAAGGCTTCTGATGCTGTCTCAGATGACCCTCTCATAAATAAACTAGGAAAATACTACCTAGATGGAGCTACTATAAGGTGGGTGCATAACTGGTTCGAGGACAGTTACCAGAGAGTATCATCAGTTGTTCACAGTCAAGCTGGAAGGGCATATTAAGTGGGGTCCCACAGGTATCAATCCTGGGTCCGATTTTTTTCATCTAAATCTTCATCAGTGATTTAGATAATGGCACGGAGAGTACACTTATAAAGTTTGCAGACGATACCAAGCTAGGAGGGGTTGCAAGTGCTTTGGCGGATAGGATTAAAATTCAAAATGAACTGGACAAACTGAGAAATGGTCTGAAGTAAATAGGATGAAATTCAGTAAGGACAAATGCAAAGTGCTCCATTTAGGAAGGAACAATCAGTTGCACACATACAAAACGGGAAATGACTTCATAGGAAGAAGTACTGCAGAAAAGGATCTGGGTGTCATAGTGGATCACAAGCTAAATATGAGTCAACAGTATAACACTGTCGCAAAATAAAAAAAGCAAACATCATTCTGGGATGTATCAGCAGGAGTGTTGCAAGAAAGACACAAGAAGTAATTCTTCTTTTCTACTCAGTGCTACTTACGCCTCAACTGGAGTATTGTGTCCAGTTCTGAGTGTCACATTTCAGGAAAGATGTGGACAAATTGGATTAAGTCCGGAGGAGAACAAAAATGATTAAAGGTCTAGAAAACATGACCTATGAGGGAAGATTAAAAAAATTGAGTTTATTTAGTCTGGAAAAGAGAAGACTGAGAGGGGACATAACAGTTTTCAAGTACATAAAAGGTTGTTACACAGAGGAGGGGAAATAATTGTTCTTCTTAATCTCTGAGGATAGGACAAGAAGCAATGGGCTTAAATTGCAGCAAAGGGAGGTTTAGGTTGAACATTAGGAAAAACTTCCTAACTGTCAGCGTAGTTAAGCACTGGAATAAATTGCCTACGGAGATTGCGGAATCTCCATCATTGGAGGTTTTTAAGGGCAGGCTAGACAAACGCCTGTCACAAATGTTCTAGATAATACTTAGTACTGCCATGAGTGCAAGGGACTAGACTAGATGACCTCTCGAGGTCCTTTCCAGTTCTACAATTCTATAAGAGGAGTTTGAAGTAAATATGATGCAAGTACTGCCCACATCTGAAAATACCTGACAAGTTCAAATGAGAAACACAAAATGCAGCTTGAGAAAGTACCTCTTTATATTCAGTGGTATCACTCAATAACAGACCTAAAAGTTGCAATTCTTCAACAAAAAAGTTTCAAAAACAGACTCCAACATGAAACTGCAAAACTGGAATTAATTTGCAAACTGGATACCATCAGATTAGGCCTGAATAAAGACTGGGAGTGGTTGAGTCATTACAAAACCTAAACCTAATTTCCCCAATACTAATTTCCCCCTACTGTTACTCGCACCTTCTTGCAGGGGGCTGGACTCGATGACCTTTCAGGGTCCCTTCCAGTTCTATAAGATAGGTATATCTCCATATTTTTTTGTCAACTGTCCCGGGCCTGTTCCATGGGGTGCCCCGTTCTGCATGGCATCCCATCCCCCGCCTGTTCTGTGGGGTGCCCCGTTCTGCATGGCGTCCCGTCCCCCGGCCGTTCCGTGGGGTGCTCGGGGGGAGGGATAGCACAGTGGTTTGAGCATTGGCCTGCTAAACCCAGGGTTGTGAGTTCAGTCCTTGAGGGGGCCACCTAGGGATCTGGGGCAAAATTGGTACTTGGTCCTGCTAGTGAAGGCAGGGGACTGGACTTGATGACCTTTCAAGGTCCCTTCCAGTTCTAGGAGATAGGATATCTTCATTAATAAAAAAAAAAAGAAATGGGCCACTCTCGTTACCACTTCAAAAGTTATTATTCCTCCCTTGGTATCCTGCTGTTAGTTAATTATCTCGTTAGACTGACCTTACACTTGGTAAGGAAACTCCCATCCTTTCATGTATTTATATCTGCTCCTGTATTTTTCCACTCCATGCATCTGATGAAGTGGGTTCTATGCTCAAATAAATTTGTTAGTCTCTAAGGTGCCTCAAGGACTCCTCATTGTTTTTAGTGGTATCTGAGTTGAACATGAAACCATTGAATGTACCACCACTATAGAAATGAAATTGCTATGTACCATCGAACCAGATACCATTGAACATAAAATTACTATCAAGATGAAATTACTGCATACAATGGGATTCTGTAGAAAGAACAGCTTGTCCTAACACAATTCAGCATGAGATTGCAAATACTAATCGTAATCCACAGTGCCCATCTGAGTATTGAAAAGTATAAGAGCAGCTCATGATATGTCCTATTGTTGATGGCAGCATTCATGCCTATCCAGAATAAGTTATCAGTGTTAAATCCATAATCAGTACAGGAATTTGAATGTAACTAAAACCACTGACACACTGAGATTCCTGATTGCCCTGGATCCAGAATTAGTGCACATCTCTATTTCTAAGAACATAAGAATTGCCATTGGTGGGAAAGGCACTGCCAACTCCCCACTGCTGTAGCCCTTCTCCTCCAGGGGGAATGACTCTGGTATCTCCCCTCCGCTGGAGCATTTCCCCACCACAGGGAAAGACTTGCCGCAAGGGAAATGTCCTGGATAGGGAGAGGCAGCGGGAAAAGGCTCTGGCAGTGGGAAACTGCTGAAGCCTTTCCCTTCTGCCTCCCCCCTGCCAGAGCTCTTCACTGAGGCTAGGTCTATACTACCCGCCTGAATCGGCGGGTAGAAATCGACCTCTCGGGGATCGATTTATCGCGTCCCGTTGGGATGCGACAATCGATCCCCGAATCGGCGCTCTAACTCCACCAGAGGAGGTGGTAGTAAGCGCCACCGACAAAAAGCCGCAGAAGTCGATTTTGCCGCCGTCCTCACAATGGGGTAAGTCGGCTGCGATACGTCGAATTCAGCTACGCTATTCACGTAGCTGAATTTGCGTATCTTAAATCGACTCCCCCCTGTAGTGTAGATGTACCCTGACACACGGTAGTGTGGATGCAGCCATCTTTTCACTGCAGCATATAGCCACAAATACCCTACACTCTGCTGATAGTGGTGTGTAGTGTAGATGTAGCCTTAGAGTGGCAGGATTCAGTGTGTCCTCTTTTTGTTTTATTTTTCCTCCTTTTTCTGTTACCTGCAGCTACAGCCTGGGCCACCCACATACATACATTGCTTTCCACTGTCTACTGCCACTATACCCCACCCAGTATAACCCACTCATCCAGCCCTTCAATAGACTTACTATAGGATAGGAGCCATGCTTTGAAAGGCCTCATACGGTGTCTCAGAGCTGGGCCTCCTCCTGCAGACCTCGTATGCCCATTCGATTTTAGGCTTTTAGTGCTCATGCAAATAATGAGAAATGTGGAAACCCAAAGGGTTTCTGCTGAAAGTGTTTCAGCAGAGCCCAGCTAGTGCCCCATACCACTATGAAAATATTGCTGATGCTTTTTGAGGAGGTGACAAGTTTTGGCTTATGTGGTGGAGGGATTGATGCCAGTACAGTGGTGGTGGAGGGAGCGGTTGTCAGTGTGGGAAGGTTGCTAGTGACTAAAACAGCTGGTCCTATAATGAGGAGTTGAGCTTTGTCCAGAATACAGGTGTGTGGATCCTGCATTCCAAGGAGACAGAATTAAAAGAAAGGATGGCACAGAAAACTCTTTAGCCATTCCTCACATCCAGAAAGGCTGTCTGCTTCTCCCTTGTCATTTCTTTATTGTAAAATTTAGTGTATTTGAGAAAATATATGTTCCTCTCCTGCCTGTCATTGGGTATTCTTGTGGAATCTTTCTAAATGTTATGACTTTCTTTTTCCTTCCCTTAGACATGTGACTATTAGAAGCTTTTTCAGGGATTTATGAATCAGGAGATTTTTATTATAATTGGTTGCTTCTTTTCTCTTGCAGAGAAATGTTCTGTGCTCAGGAGTAGTCCCACAGATCTCCCTCATCATGGGTCCCTGTGCTGGTGGAGCAGTCTACTCGCCTGCTTTAACAGATTTCACATTCATGGTGAAGGTAAGTGTGACCCTAAGAACCCCTCAATGCCAACTGGCAAAGGGTTCACTGTTCTGTAACAGCAACTCCTAACAAGCCTGACAAATTCACTACACCTAGTACACTGCTTTCATAGTATTTGTCCATAAAGACTGTCATGTGAGGTTTTTAATAAAAGTCACAATTACACAGGTCATTAATAGCATTGTGAAATATATGTACAAATACTGTGTAAGAAGGGATGTGTGTGTTTGGAAAAAATATATAAAATATGTTCCTCAATGTCTGAATCAAGGCAGAGTTGACAAAAGGTTTCTGCCAGACAAAGGATATATTCACCTGTCTGCCCTGGTTCACATGTAAATTAAGCATTGTAAGCCAACACAATGGAAGCCCCGTTTGCATACAAAGTCATCATGAAGATGTGAAGTCACTATGCAGTCAGCACACCAGTGAATAAACCACAAAGGTCATCTTGACTTGGGACAAACAATGATGTTGGGAGGGAAAGGCAAAAAGACAACCATTTATCCTGCACCTGAGAAAGTAATCAGTTCGATTACAATCATGAAAATGGGATCCCAACCAGCCTTAGTTGGAAACACTGCAAGCAAGTTTTGGGTGAGATTCATAGCTTCTAAGGCCAAAGGGACCATTGTGATCACCTAGTTGGGACCTCGTGTATAGAACAGGCCATAGAAATTCCCCAAAATAATTCCTACAGCAGATCTTTTAGATAAACATCCAATTTTCATTTAAAAATTGTTAGTGATGGAGAATCCACTATGACCCTTGGTAAATTGTTCCTATGATTAATTACTGTCAACTTTAAAAATATACTTCTTGTTTCCGATCTGAATTTCTCTAGCTTCAACTTCCAGTCACTGGATTGTGTTAGACCTTTCTCTGCTAGACTGAAGAGCCCATCATGAAATATTTATTCTTCTTGTAGATATAGACTGTAATCAAGTCACCCCTTCACCTTCTCTTTGTTAAGCTAAATAGATTGAGCTCCTTGAGTCCATCATTAGAAGGCAGGTTTTCTAATCCTTTAATCATTCTCATGGGTCTTCTCTGAAGCTTTTCCAATTTATCAATATCCTTCTTGAATTGTGGACACCTGAATTGGACACAGTATTCCAGCGTGAACCAGTCCAAATACAGAGATAAAATAATCTCTCTAGTCCTATTCAAGTTTTCTCTGTTTATGTATCCCAGGGCCTTATTAGATGTTTGGTCACAGCATCACACTGGGAACTCATGTTCAGCTGATTATCCACCAGGACCTCCAAATCTGTTTGAGTCACTTCTTCCCAGGATAGCATCCCCCATCCTGTAAGTGTGGCCTGTAGTCTTTGTTCCTAAATATATACAGTAGAGCCTCAGAGTAACAAACTGAACCAGTCAACCACACACCTCATTTGGAACCGGAAGTGCACAATCAGGCAGCAATAGAAACCAAAAAACAAAAAATACAGTACTGTGTTAAATGTAAACTACTAAAAAGAAATAAAAGGATTAAATTAAAAAAATATATATTTGACAAGGAAATGAAACTATTCCTGCACTTACTTGATTTAAAATAAGATGGTTAAAAGCAGCATTTTTCTTCTGAATAGTAAAGTTTCAATGCTGTATTAAGTCAATGTTCAGTTGTAAACTTTTGAAAGAATCACCATAACGTTTTTTTCAGAGTACGAACAACCTCCATTCCCGAGGTGCTCGTAACTGAGGTTCTACTGTACATTTACATTTAGCCGTAATAAAATGCATATTGTTTGCTTGCGCCCAGTTTACCAAGCGATCCAGATCAAACTCTGTCAGTGACCTGTCCTCTTCATTATTTACCACTCCCCCAATTTCTGTCTCGTCTGTAAACTTTATCAGTGAATGATATTTTCTTCCAGTTCATTGATTTTAAATGCTAAATAGTGTAGTGCCAAGGACCAATCCTTGTGGGACCCCATTGAAAATATACCCAGCTTGATGACAGTTCCCCATTTACAATTAAATTTTGAGACCTGTCAGTTAATCAGTTTATAATCATTTTTAATATGTACCATGTTCATTTTTTAATCAAAATGCCATGCAGTACCTAGTCAAATGCCTTGCACAAAGCTAAGTATATTACGTCAATGCTTTTATCTTTATCAACCAAACATGTAACTTCATAAAAAAAAGATGTCAAGTTAGTTTGACAGGATCGGTTTTCCATAAGCCCCGTTGATTTGCATTAATTACATTACCCTTCTTTGGTTCATCATTCATCAAGATGAGACTGCTTTTGGACAGATGGTTAGCATGTTAAAATTTAGTCTCTAAAAAGCATGTATTGATTTTGTTTTATATGTCATCCTTCTGCTTCCAGTATCCTTACGATCTCATAAATCGTAGCCTTTTGTGACAAACTTAGATTTATAGTGAAAACAAATACATCTCAGAGCTGTGATGTTATATGGGAGCTGATTGTCCGTGAATCAAACAACCTGGCATGTATACTGTCCCCTATGAATAGCAAACCTGGTATTTCTGTGAGTAGCCACTAATGGGCTGGATATCACAGGGGAATGTTTCAAAGGAGCTCAGGGACTGGGATGCACCGACTGTTAACCTGCAAAGAAAAGTGAGGGCTAGCATTGCCCTGAGGACATTGCTTGGGTGGCTAGCAGGGTGTTGTCAGGCAGCTGACACCCAGTTAAGCACCATCAAGTCTCACGTTGGAGGCAGAGGGGTAACAAAGTTAATCACGGTCTTAGGCACCCCAAAAGAACACCGCAGTGGGAATGCAGCATCTGTTGATAACATGGAGCAATCTCATCTAGATTTAGAATCATGGATGTGCTTTCATCTTTGGAACCCGTAGGAACTAGAATCCCCTACAGAAACTTCATTCATGTAAGAGCTGCTAGCAATGGCCTTATGCCATATTTTAAATAAAGAACACTTGAATATTTTCCCCAAAAAGCAGTTTTATGCTTATTTTTTGCATTGGAAATATACTATCTTCCTTTGGTCTGTTGGATGTAGATTGAGAGCTTTCGCAGCCCTTAAATAAAGGGGTTGGGATGCTGAATCTTAAACAAAGAAAGCTTTTTCTCTCAAATAGCTGTTTTTTCCGCTAAAATAGCTATATAATTCAGAGTTTTAAACAGTCTAAATAACAATAATTTCCCCTCTCAATCAGTTGTACCTATTCTTCTAAGGGAAACAAGTCCTGAGTATTTTTACATTAAAAAAACCAAGAAGAAGCAACTTTAAAAAACTTCCAAGTTTCCATCATATACAGTAACGCCTCACTTAACATCGTCGCAGTTAACGTTGTTTCGTTGTTACATTGCTGAAAAAACAACTATTTGAGAGAAAAAGCTTTCTGCCTTCACTAAACAGCCCCCTGCCTTCACTAGCAGGACCAAGTACTGATTTTGCCCCAGATCCCTAAGTGGCCCCCTCAAGGATTGAACTCACAACCCTGGGGAGGAATAGCTCAGTGGCTTGAGCATTGGCCTGCTAAACCCAGGGTTGTGAGTTCAATCCTTTGTTGCAGCTTGGAACTCACACTTCGCAGTCTACTTTTTCAGGACACATCCTATCTGTTCATCACTGGCCCTGATGTAGTCAAGTCAGTTACCAATGAAGATGTTACCCAGGAACAGCTTGGGGGAGCAAAGACACACACTGCAGTGTCAGGTGAGAGCTGATTATTTTACTTAGTTACTGTATGATCCAGTTTTCCATACTGAATGAATCAGCAGTAGATGTTAGAACTACTTTTTCTCACTAGGGGCCTCCATGTGAAATTCTTCACTAAAGGTTATGGAGTTTGGGGCATTGGATTTTGGGCACTGAATAGCAGTAGTTATTTTTGCACTTTGTAGTATATCCATGGAATAACAACTACTAGACGTGCATTGAAGGTTTTAAGCAAGAATAATATGATCCTTTCACATATGAGGGGGAGTTCATATATATTTTCAAGTCTTTTTAAGTCATTTTAACTCAAGACTGTAGAGTGTTTTACTGCATTATGGTAGCAAACCTGTGGCTGAATTTGTCATCCCTTTCCAGCATTCCTTTTTCATTCTCTTCTAATGCTTCTCTTCCTCTTTTGGAACAAAGTTACCTATGTGACTTCTTGTCTTGGAGATGACTTTAAAAATCGGACTAATGTGAGTTGTATGGCTGTGAAAGTTTACTTTTTTGTTGAAAGAAAGAAAGAAAATGTTGCCATAGTTATAGTTGAAGCTAGTTCTTCATTTTAAGCTTAATTTTGTCCTCCTTTCTAGCTTTGAGAAAACTGAATTAAACCCACGTGAAAATGTCTGTGTGAGACAATGCTAGAGTAGGTATTTTAGGGGAAGCTAAGGGGATGTTGGACAACGTGATTTTTGGAGGTGTGGTTATTAATATTTTTTAAAAATTATCCATTCTTAGAAATTGTCAAGTCTCAGAACCCTTTTTCTGGCTCATCATATCTCAGAAAAGACTTGGCATAGCTCCAAAACTGTCTTATTCTGTTGGCCTCTGTGAGGACTGGTGTCTTTAGCTAATTTAGTGAAGTTAGTTTGGTCAATCATTTACTTATTAAAAGTTAAGTCTATGTGAACACACTGCATCCCTGAATGGGCCCAGACAGGCCTCATGGTCTTGTAGACTTCATAAGGCCCAGATCAGAGTAGGCTGTGCATTTGCAGAAGAAGAGGAATGTTAAGCATAGGAAGGAGGGAATGTGGTATGCATGGAATATGAGGAAAGGGTTATGTAGGGGTGCCTATGGGTATCACTGCAGACCTTTCAGAATCTATCTACTTAACCATTTCTACTGCATCCATCACTGTAGTATCTAGGCATTAAATACACCAATGAAGAGTAAGGAGCAATATCAATTGCTCTCTGGGAACAGACCACTTTCTCCACACCTCATTAGTCTTTCCCATGAATAGGAATATGCAGAGGACACTTGAAGACGAAATAAAGGTTACATACCTATAACTGGAGTTCAAGATGAACTCTACATATTCATACTTCCCCACTTCCTCAGAGTCCTTCTTACCAAAGGACCTGGAATTAAAGAAGGGAAGGAACTGCAGGGGATGGAGCACTCCTGCCCCTTTTATGCCCTTGCTATGCAATGTTCTGTATTCACTATGAGGAGGTCCGAGGAAAGTGCACAAGTGCGACAGTGGGCACTGCTAGCAAGAGTTCTACCATTCAAGCTGTACTGGTCAAAGCCTGGCATGAGTGTTTATGCAGAGTCCATCTCAAAGAACTCTGGTTACAGGTGAGTAATCTTCATTTGGGTCTACTACAACATCCTAGTATCCAACCACAATGAGCTGCAAAAAATATTAAAGCTATTTTTTAAAATATAAAAATAAGGTGAGCTATCCAGAGCTGTCAAGGAAGATTGACATACTTAGCTGCTTCTCAGACACTTCAACCTTACTGGAGTTGAAAACTTGATGGCTCTGCTGGCTTCAAAAATCTTGATACGGTTGATGGCTTTATTGATGTGTTTAAAAAATCCAAATGGAGCCCTTGTAAAGTAGTATTATTTTGGCTTTTTTCTCCAGGAGTCGCACACAGAGCCTTTGAGAATGATGTAGATGCTTTGCTCAATCTCAGGGAGTTCTTTAATTACCTACCTCTCAGTAACCGTGATCCAACCCCTGTTCGCAAATGCCATGATCCTAGGTAAGTGAGGGGCTTGTACATGATATCTCACGTTGTTGTCAGTTTAGTGTCATGTGTTTTTCTGACAGTGTGAATACAAGGAAATGAGCATCTTGCAGCTAGATTTCTGATTTTTGCCTTCTTCACTGATTAATTCCCTCTTCCAACATGTATGTGTGCACATGTTTTTTTAGCTCTTTGTTTAGGAAGTGTTTAGCAGTTTTATAAATCATTGTCCCATAGCTACCAGAAATACAGTATTAACAATTACAAAAATGAACTTACCAGTCACTGTTTAGAGAGTCATCCTGTGTGGCAGGAATAAGTTATAGGACAAACCTCCTTACCCAGAAACAATATCTCCAGGATGATGTATTTTCTTAAGCAGGAAGACATTTCTGCCTTTTCCGATATTAACAAACCAAGAGAGTCTATGATACTGATTTAATATTCTGAGAAATTTGTCAAATGTTATGTTTGTAGTCTTTTGCCATGTATGAACTCAAAGAGTAAATTTTCCATATCAGTAGCATTTGTGTGGGGTTTTTTTTAAACAATTACTCTAATATCAGGCAATTTATTTTTTTCTGTGAGAGGGTACCAATAATCTTGCAGCTACTAAGAGATGAGAGATTAATTCTCTATTTCCTTGACTGGGATCCATTTCCACTAGCAAGCCTCAGAAGGATTACTACAGGATACCCAAATCAATTTGTTAGTCTCTAAGGTGCCACAAGGACTCCTCGTTGTTTTCACAGGATCTCTGTGTAATAAATGTTCAATAGTTTGTAATATGAGGTTATGAACTGCATCTCAGTGCTCTAATAATTTGACATGTCCAACATATATGCATAAAATAACCTTTTTTCACCACAAATTTCTCCAATGTTTCTCACTATCCATATTTTTTAATACTTGCTATTCAGTGGGTACTTACACCAACATCTTAAATGAATTTTCTCATATAGTGTTATGAATCAAGAGCGCTGGTCTTCCCCCCCCCCCCAAATCTATGCCCGTTTCTCTGAGGTAATATGTCTGCCTAAATCCTTGTCCTCTTATATCGTATATACGGATATTTTCTTGCCAGAAAAATTGTCAGTAAATACTGATGTGAATTATGAGTTATAGTTGTTTCCTGTTAGTCCAGAAGCTATTGAAATTAGCTTCCTCTATAAATGAGTTTATTTACAGTGCTGAGCAATGAGGATAGAATAAAATCCTGTATTTAAGTCAGTAACAAAGCTCCAATTGACTAGCTTTGATCAGGGCCATAATACCTAAGTTGAAAGTACTCGTCCCAAGGGAAAGCAGGCCAATAAAAATTGGTGGTGTTTTCTAAAGGAGTTAGAAGACTCTTTTCAGTAAACAATCGGTCAGCCATGAATATTCCATTTCTCTTCCACTCTGAATAACTCTAGTTCATTGTTTTGTGTTAAAGTCTGGACTATAGGCAAAACCCAAAGGGAGGCTGTCACTGCTTCTTGGTGTGGTCTTTTGAGGAGTCTCAGCTGATCTTCACTGAACTTCCTTAGTTTATCCTCAATCAGGTCCATTACTGCACCCTCAACCCAGTTAAGTCTTTCAGCACTTCAGTTGTAGGGCTAGCAGTCTCCCTTACTCTCCTGGTTGTTTTCTTGGTGCAGGGCTGTTTTCTTTGTTATCCTTGGCCTTTCTGCCTCCCTTTCCTTCTCTGTACTCTCCCCTTTATAGCAGGTCTTGTTTACTCTGTTGGTTGCAGTTTTGGGTGTCTGCCTCCATGATTGGCAGTTCTGGCAGCTGCGTGGGGGATGTGATCAAGCTGCTTGTTTGTAAACAGGAAGAACTGTCCTCCCCCTCTGTCTACGCTCCGTATGAGGTTTATAGACCCCATTACAGAGGCCCTTGCCAAGGGGTGCCTACAGATTTCTGGAGGTGTAATTTTATTAATCCTTGATAACCTAGAAATATTACTGAAATTTTCTTGTTCAATAAAAACTAGTATTTGCCTGGATTAGAGTGCTTCAACCAACCAGCAACTGCCTACAGTTGGCTGGTTTGATAGAACCATATTATGTTTGGAGCAGCTAGTGCATTCTGCGTAGTGGGTCTGTGTAAAGTAGCTGCACCCATTCTCAGCCTTCTCTTACTTGTAGAATTCTAACAGCATCCTCTGGATAACTGCTGGAGTTTTATGATTTGAAGAAGGCTTTGAAACAAGACTAGTATCCTGGGCTAAACGTCCATTTTATTGAGGGCTATTGTCTCTCACCAAGAGACTGTTGTATTCCTCCAGCACTCCAGAGCTCTGTGTATTTCCTGTGATTGTTTGATGTTTCCATTGTAGAGCTCCTCTAGGTTACTTGAGATTGGATTCCCAAGTATCTTGCAGAATTTTTTAGCCATTTATACCCAAACATTTTCTGGACAGTTGATATCTCTGAGTTTGTCAAATGTATATCTTCTTCTTTTATTTTTAGCATGATTTAATTAAAATCAGTTGTTTTCTTCAAATTAAGGATTTCTTTAGATAATGATTTTAGGGAAACATTTGAGTAAAATATTATAACCGCCACATGACAAACTATTTTACTGTGTATTCCTGCCAGTTTTATTCCATTAATAAATGTCTTCTCCCTTGTGCAAAAGACTTTGTGGCCAGTGGAGAAAGCAAAGGAGAGAAGTCCCCCATCCCAGCTCCCCCATATAACTCAGACAGGAAAGACATCAGCCCATGGATTTGCATCACTGCTTTAGGGCTGATATAAAGAGCAGTAATTTTATTTCTTTTAATTTAGACAGGTTGACTAGAACTTTGTATGGTTACAGGCAACTTTTTCCTCACTGGTGATTCTCTCCCTTCCCCCTCCTGCCCTCCAACTGTGTCCAACCCAATGATTGGGGAGACAAAAATGAGAAGGCTTTTCTCCTTTCCCTTAAAAACTATATTCTGTCTCCCCCCACCTTACCATCTCTTGGTAGCAGCTGGCTCCTGTGTTACGGTGGCCAGCAGAGCCTGCAGCAGACGGAAGATGTACAGATCCTGTAGTCCTGCAAGAACACACACACACACACACACCGCTGTTCTATTTCTTAATGCACAAGTCACCAGGTTAAAACTAAGAAATTATTATTTTTTCTGTATTTGGAAGGCTTGGCTGAAGATGCCAGCATCCAGATAGATTCTTGTCAAGCAGTCCACAATGGGAGGAGTTAAAGGTGTATGTCTTCTGTATGGAAATTAATCTAATTTTGTGAATACTCATGTCATTTTTAATTACTTTGCATTTTGTCTGAAGTAATCGCTTGGTTCCTGAGCTGGACACAGTTGTCCCAATGGAGTCTACTAAAGCCTATGATATGGTCGACATTGTACATTCGGTAAGCCTTCTGTTCTTAAAAAAAAGTACTTATGTGACAAATTATTAAATGGCTCAAAATGCTGGAAGCAAACTAGCAGAATGCCACAGGAGACCTACTTACAATTAACTCTGTGTTCACAATAGCCATTCAGATAATTCTTTCTCCATGCATTGATCATAAACCCAGAGGTAACAAAAATTGCAAAAATAAGGAATCTAATGTATGAAAGGAATTTTAGATTTGGGATTTGTCTTTAGGACTCATTTTCCTCTTCAAATGTCCATCCATCACATAGATGGAAGACAGTATTGTTCATGTTTCTTTTCTTAAAAAGTGGATAAGACAGTCCCCAGATAAAAAACTGGAAAATTGTACACCTTAGTGCCCTTATCTTTTTATTTCTCTTAAGTGTTTAAATAATGTTGTGTGTTTTACTGTTTTCCTTAATTTAAAGGGAAACAAACTTTGGTGATTCCAATCTATTCGTAGAAACTTGAATTAAAAGAATATTATTAAGTTTCCGAGGTCAAGCACTCAGAAGTTTGGAAATACCAGAATTAAAGTTGCATGGAATGAGGCACAGGTGTCCTGTGGAAAATAATATGTGATATCATAATGCAGATGTAACATTAAGGATACTTGAGCAATATTCATACTGGGGATTTGTAACTTTTTTAGTGCTTTATTTTGCAGTCTTAATGTTCTTAACATATTTTTCACGTTTTTTAACAAAAAATAAATATCATGCGATTGTTACAATTTCCCCTGTGGGTCATCATCAGGGTTTGAATTTTATACCTCCAGATTCATGGCACAGAGCTCTACCACTTGAGTTAAATGTTAGGTGTCATATGCTGTTATCCTCTGTGGACCAGCCACAAGGGGATAGTGTGCAACACACTGAAGCAGTGGGTTACATATACAAGAATAGCTCAACTGTACTGGGAGCGTGCCCTGGCACTTAGATTTTTCAGTTTTTCTGAGAGGCAGTGTAGAAAAAGTGGTGTGAATTAGCTCTTCCATATTAGGATATAGTCTCAGGTTTGACAGAAGTGACTGTCCAATCTCCATCGAGCCTGTAAAATAGGTGGTGACACTGATATTTGCCTGCTAAAGTAGAGTGTATGTGCATGGACTTATTAATATTGGTCTGTAGAAAAGATGAAATCACAGAAATCATGGTCTAATGGCTTCCAGCGTTTTCCTCTAACCAAATGGTATTCTGATGGGGCAAAGCATGAGTAACAGGATGCAGTTTATCTGGCAGTTCAGCTCTGGAGAGCTGCTTCAGAATAGTGCCAGAGGCTCAGTGGGGTCTGGGAGCATGTTCAGTGTAGGTGAAATGTTCTGAATATGAAGGTGCAAACCTCGTCACATTCTGCTGTGAGAGCTAAAAACTTTGCCACATGTGGGTGAATTGTCATGGGGTAAGCAAAGGGCTTATCCTCCCGCCAAAATTCAAGCACCTGCTCCGAAAGAGAGGATGGGATTTTCACAAGTGCCTATGTGAGTTAGAGAGAAAAGTCCAACTAACTTTCAATAGGACTTGTGCTCCTAGGCCAGGTGCTGTTGAAAATCCCACCCTGAGGCACAGAGCTGTTTAAAATATGGTCAAACATTTTTGCATCATTACAACTGTCTGTCCTTAACATATACTCAGAAATAGCTGAACTGCTTTCACTCAAACTTAACAAAACATTCTGAGACAGAGACCAAGCATGGAAAACTGCAGCCTGAATGATTGGTAGGCAAAGTTATTGTAAGCAGCTGAAAACAGGGGTTCATGATAAAGTGTTAGGAACCCATAATATGGGTACCACTACTATAATTATGCACACTTATGAATATGTGAACTTTGCTTTGCATCTTTGTGGGCGTCACTTTACAGAACACACACTGAGAAGCCCATCCCTAGGAATAAGGGCTGGTATGAGGAATTTAGCCCTGACCTGTGAGGCGGTGGGGCACAGAAAGTAATTTGGCTATGAGGGAGGTTTGAAGAATCTTCCTTGCCTGTCCCTATAGGTAGTAAAAGCAGAGCATGGCTGAGAATTGCTTTTCAGGGAGACAGCCCTGCCTTGTTTCTCTTACTGTCTCAGTTAGATAGATGCCACTGACATAGTATAAAAACAAGGAGTCCTTGTGGCACCTTAGAGACTGACAAATTTATATGGGCATAAGCTTTCGTGGGCTAAAACCCACTTCATCAGATGCGTGGAGTGGAAAATACAGTAGACAGGTGTATATATACACAGTACATGAAAAGATGGGAGTTGCCTTACCAAGTGGGGGGTCAGTGATCTCTGTTTGACATGCAAACCAGGAGTTTGTCTGTACCAGTGTAAAGATGTGGAGCAGATCCTCAGCTGGTGTTAATTGTCATGGCTCAACTGAAATGAATGGAATGGAATGGAATTACACTAACTAAGGGTCTTTGAAAACTAGAAAAGTGCCCTTATTACAAGGGAATCCTTTAAAAGGTTTGCTTTGGTGTCATGCTGAAGGAGCACTCTGATATATATTCAAAAGTAAACGCAGCATCAAAAACATATTGACGTATGCATTTGTAAAGGAGAGAGAGATTCATTTTTAAAACCTTCTAATTCCCAAGCAGTGTTTTTTCTTTCCCTGTAATATTGGTATTGTTGTAACTCCCAGCATCTAGCCCTGAGGATTCTGTCTAAATCTCATTCTTGCAGATTGTTGACGAGAGGGAATTTTTTGAAATCATGCCCTCCTATGCTGGGAACATCATTGTTGGATTTGCAAGGATGAATGGAAGAACTGTTGGAATAGTGGGTAATCAACCTAAAGTGGCATCAGGTAGGAGCTAGCTGCCTGGTGCTGGGTGTTTGTAAGCTGACTGCTAATTGTGTTTTGTTTATTACACACATTGTGAAGACATATGTCGCCATAGTAACTAGGTTTACTTTGAGTGTCTAAAAGTTGGGTCTATGATTCGCTTTCCCCTAGAAGTTTAATAGTGGAATAGGTTCTGTGGTGGAATTGCATTTTATGTCACATATTAATGATCTGGAAAAGTGGGGTAAACAGTGACAAAATTTGCAGATTATGAGCCTAAATAATTTTGTGTCAAGATTAGAGAAACGAATGAAAAACTTCAGTGGGACTAAGCAAAACTAGTTAGATGGGCAGCATAGCATGATGGCAGATAAAATTGCATGTTGACCAGTGTAAGATTATTTATATTGTCTGGAATAAAAACTATTCTCAACTGCTACCACTCAGAAAAGACAACATGCATCTTACTGGTCAGCTCAGTGAAAACCTCTGCTCAGTGTGCAGCTAAGGATGCATAATAAATGAGAGAGGATACTACTGAAAGAATTCTAAATCCATACTATAAATCAGTGGTACCTCATCACATGGAATATGCTGTTTGGGCTTCCTAGCCAAACAGACACAGCTAGGTTTGCCAACCCTCCCGCTTTCGCCGGGAGTCTCCTGGAGGCTACTTCAGCCAAACCAGGAGATTTTGGGTGCTAAAAGTCCGGCAGCGCAGTGGAGCTAAGGCAGGCTCCCTACCTGTCTTAGCTCCACGCTGCTCCCGGAAGCAGTCAGTATATCCCTGCGGCCCTGGGGGAGGGGAGAGGGGGTCTCCATGTGCTGCCCCCACCCCAAGCACCGACTCTGCAGCTCCCATTGGCCAGGAACTGTGGTCAGTGGGAGCTGCAGGGGCGGTGCCTATGGGCAATGGTGCGCAGAGACCCCCTGGCCCCCCCTCTTAGAAGATGCTGCCAGAGGAATGTGCCGGTCACTTTCAGGAGCCACCTAAGGTAAGCGCTGCACACCTCATCCCCTCCTGCACCCCTGCCCTAGACCAGAGCCCGCAACCAAACTCCACCCCTCTCCCCCTCCAACACCCAAACTCCCTCTCAGAACCCACACTCCCTCCTCCACCCCAGCCCAGAGCCCACACCCGCTCCTGGATTCAACCCCCTGCCCCAGACTAGTGAAAATGAGTGAGGGTGGGGAAGAGCAAGCAAGGAGGCAGGGGGATGCAGTGAGTGAGGGGTGGGACCTTGGTGAAGGAGCAGGACAGTGGCGTGGCCTCGGGAAGGGACTGGGCACGGGTCTTTGGATGTGCGTGATTAGATAGTAGGCAACCCTAGACACAACTGAAAGAGAGAGGATTCACAGGCAGCCAGCGAGAATGACTAGGGACCTAGAAAAACTGCCATATGAAGAATGAATGAAAAGATTAGAACCATTTCGTTTATCAAGATGGCGGATCTGAAGGACATGATAAAGTTATATCAAATAAACAGTATGGAGAGGGCAGTTCAGGCACTTCTAGTCATCTTTTCTCACAGTAAACAAACAAAGAGGCATTCAGTGAAATCAATAGCCAGCAAATTGAAATCTGATAAATGTAGTGCTTTTTCACATAACACACAACTAGCCTGTGGAGCTTATTGCCATTATATCTATGTATAATTAATTGAGGTCAAGAGCTTAACAGACTTTAAACATTTTGTTTGATAATAAGCACATCTGGAGTTAACATAGTAAGGATTCTTTTTAAAGGATGAAAAAATGTGGAAAGGCTATAAACCCTGTGTTTCAGGGCATACAATAATCTGTAACTAACTTATTTCCCTTTCATATTTCTCTGACATCTCTCTAGTACTAGCCATAGGTTACTGTTACTGGATTATAGAATCATAAAATCATAGACTTTAAGGTCAGAAGGGACCATTATGATCATCTAGTCTGACTCCTGCACAACGCAGGCCACAGAATCTCACCCACCCACCCCTGTATCAAACCTGTGTCTGAGCCATTGAAGTCCTCAAATCATGGTTTAAAGACTTTAAGGTGCAGAGACTCTTCCAGCAAGTGACCCGTGCCCCACACTGCAGAGGAAGGCGAAAAACCCCCAGGGCTTCTGCCAATCTGCCCTGGAGGAAAATTCCTTCCCGACCCCCAAATATGGCGATTAGCTAAATCCTGAGCATGTGGGCAAGACTCACTAGCCAGACACCCAGGAAAGAATTCTCTGTAGTAACTCAGATCCCATCCCATCACAAGCCATTGGGCATATTTACTTCTAGTAGTCAAAGATGAATTAATTGCCAAAATTAGGCTATCCTATTATACCATCCCCTCCATAAATTTATCAAGCTTAGTCTTGAAGCCAGATATGTCTTTTGCCCCCACTACTCCCTTGGAAGGCTGTTCCAGAATTTCAGTTCTCTGATGGTTAGAAACCTTCGTCTAATTTCAAGTCTAAACTTCCTGATAGCCATAGCCAGTTTATATCCATTTGTTCTTGTGTCCACACTGGTATTGAGCTTAAATAATTCCTCTCTCTCCCTGGTATTTATTCCTCTGATATATTTATAGAGAGCAATCATATCTCCCCTCAGCCTTCTTTTGGTTAGGCTAAACAAGCCAAGCTCTTTGAGTCTACTTTCATAAGACAGGTTTTCCATTCCTCGGGTCATCCTAGTAGCCCTTCTCTGAACCTATTCCAGTTTGAATTCATCCTTCTTAAACATGGGAGACCATAACTGCACACAGTATTCCAGATGAGGTCTCACCAGTGCCTTGTATAACGGTACGAACACCTCCTTATCTCTACTGGAAATACCTCACTTGATGCATCCCAAGACCGCATTAGCTTTTTTCACGTCCATATCACATTGGCGGCTCATAGTCATCCTGTGATCAACCAATATTCCGAGGTCCTTCTCCGCCTCTGTTACTTCCAACTGATGCCTCCCCAGCTTATAACAATAGTTCTTGTTATTAATCCCTAAATGCATGACCTTGTATATTCACTATTAAATTTCATCCTATTACTATTACTCCAGTTTACAAGGTCATCCAGATCTTCCTGTATGATAATCCCGGACCTTCTCTGTATTGGCAATACCTCCCAGCTTTGTGTCATCTGCAAACTTTATTAGCGCATTCCCACTTTTTGTGCCAAGGTCAGTAATGAAAAGATTAAATAAGATTGGTCCCAAAACCGATCCCTGAGGAACTCCACTAGTAACCTCCCTCCAGCCTGACAATTCACCTTTCGGTATGATCTGTTGTAGTCTCCCTTTTAACCAGTTCCTCATCCACCTTTCAGTTTTCATATTGATCCCCATGTTTTCCAATTTAGCTAATAATTCCCCATGTGGAACCGTATCAAATGCCTTACTGAAATCGAGGTAAATTCGATCCACTGCATTTCCTTTGTTTAAAAAAATCTGTTACTCTCTCAAAGAAGGAGACCAGGTTGGTTTGGCACGATCTACCTTTTGTAAAACCATGTTGTATTTTGTCCCAATTACCATTGACCTCAATGTCCTTGACTACTTTTTCCTTCAAATTTTTTTCCAAGATCTTGCATGCTACAGATGTCAAACTGACAGGCCTGTAGTTGCCTGGATCACTTTTTTCCCCTTTTTTAAAGATAGATCCCTGGTCTGAGCTGGTATGGGAATTCTTACGTTACTTTGAAGGGAGTTTTGTTCCCTGTGTTAAATGAAGTTGTCTCTATGTGGTAAATTACATTTTTGAGACAATTAGATGGTTGTATGACTACCCCTGGTGGTTCTTTTTCTGAAGAACAACTTGATCAAATACAAACATTTGCTGAGTTAAATTGCTAACTATCATACTGGTACCTGAGACAATATAGCAGGTTTTACTGCTGTTTTGCTTTTGATTCAATAGTTTTAATTTTGGCAAAGATGTCTAAAAGCTCAAGGCTATCTCTGTTCTGTATTGGTTTTGTATAGATTAAATATGATAAAATATATACATTTTATTTGTTTTTTGGCATGGAAACTTTGAGTGTTTTAGTAAGTAGCAAGGACATAATAGAGCTGGTCTTAGGAAAGAACTTTGGATCAAGTGATAACAGGTTGATTCAATTTAAATTAAAGGATAACTAAAACAAGGTCATCAACTATGGTTTTTAATTTCAGAAGGGCAGACTTTCAGAGATTAAGGAAATTAGTTAAAAAAATCAGCTTGACTGAAAAGCTCAAGGACTTAACTGTGGATGAGACTTGGAATTTCTTCAAATCAGTTATACAAAAACTATCTGAAATTTTCATCCCAAGAAAGGGGGAAAAGAAGGGAAAGGCTCCAGGTGTATGAATAACCACCTCAAAAAGGTTATTAGGATTAGGCAGAGAGCCTGTAGGGAATGCAAAGGGGGGTTGATTAGCAAGAAAGCTACATCACGGAGGTTAGAAAATGTAGGAATAAAGTGAGAATTGCTAAAGTCAAGCTGCATTAGCTGTTGCCAAGGAAATTAAAATAAATAATTTTTTTTTAGTTCTATAAATAAACAGAGAATAAAGAAGGATGAGGTTGGGCTGCTATGCAGTGTGAATGGGAAGGGGATAAAATTAAAATGACTACTTTGCCTCCGTTTTCAGTAACGATGATAATGTGGAACACGTGCATGGATGCAATACGGCTGATGGAAATGAGCATCTAGAAATGGAAATGACCACTTCTGAGGTGGAAGAAAAATTTAAAGCTTAATGCACTCAAATCGGGGTGGGGACTAAATAGCTTCCATCCTAGAATACTGAAAGAACTGGCACATGAGATTGTTAGTCCAGTAGCAAGGATTTTTAATAAATGTATTATTTGGGGATAGAACCATATGACTGGAGAATAGCTAACATCATACCTCTATTTAAGAAAGAGAAGAAAAGTGATCTGGGCAATTGCAGACCTGTTAGTCTGACCTCAGTAGTATGCAAGATTTTAGAGCAAATTGTGAAGGAAGGAATAAACCTCATAGAGGTAAATGGTAAAGGGGAGGTAATGCAACATGGGTTCACCAA